GTGTTTCACTAATTGCAATGTTTCGTTTTGACGAGCACTGAAGAAAGACTTTGTTTCACGTCACCCTGAAGCACAGTTTCCGAGGGCAATTTCCCATCGCACGCTTCATTTATATCATAGACTGAAATACAATTTGAAAGTTGAAGTGTCCCAGCCTGAGAAAAAAAGGACTTTCTCATCTCCGTGGCACCTCACCTGAGTATAAATGATTGAACACTGTCATCTGTTTCTGATCTAGAAATCAATGCTGCATGTAATTACCACAGAAGCAGCATTTCGGAATGCTTTTAAGGAGCCTAATGTTACAGCATTAGGTCACGGGGATTAAACACGTGACACTGTAATCTCATATTTTCTTTCATTTAGAATATCTGTCTGGGTGGCACACAGTGGGCAGTGTGTTTGACTAACAACTGCAAGTTTATAATTTCAGATAATGATCGGGGTCCACTCAACATCCCTCCCAGTACAACCTAGTGGTGATGTCTCCTGGTTTCAGCCAACAGCAAGAATGGTCCTTGCCATCAGGCCGTGAAAGTTTGTGAATGACTCTAGGCCACGATGGAAACGAATATTACCCTACGCTACTTTTCAACGTTCTGAATTCCATCGTTGTAAAAGTTCACATTTCCTGTAGTTGTGATTGTCAAGAGCCCAAGTCACAAATGTCAAAATTACCACCAACTAAAATAATAATGACCTGCATCGCCATAGTTACCAATGTCTCCTTTTCAAACGGGATCATCTCAATTGGGCACTTACCTGGTTAAACACAGGACGATCATTCAACATTCATTATCTATGAACATCATCGTCATTATAGCCACTCCTTTTATTCCTCACACAATGTCGTAACCAGCAGCTGGAAACCCACATATCTTGCTTGAACAACCACATGGGGACAATTAACCTCACTTGGATAAGTAACAACCCCAAAAGCACGTAATGTTAGAGGCAGCATCCTCTCGTCGTATTCAAAGCCGAGGCCACCTGGACACTTAAATTAGGCTTGTCATGCGCTAACGTCTTACATAATACTCCACTAATCAACGAGACAAAATTAAAGGGCACTGGCCAAAAAATACGCACATCTGCGGCTGACATCACACTTGTGCCTTCGGCAACAGGGAATTGGCTGTCAGTAACTGGGCAACCAACGACATTAATCAAAATTAAATTTATTTTGCCTAATTGACCGGGTGGCTCAAGAGGCCTCGAATGAATGTGTCAAAGCACTGCTGAGAACCTGAGTTCGAATTTTATTTTGGGAAATGAGTGACTAAAGTGGGTTCTTCCAGTAAGGTGAATTGATGGTCCAAGCTCTTGCCAATAAAAAAGACAAGGATCCCCCGTATAGTCTGTAAAAGACCGTTGGGGCAAGTGCTGTTCACGAGCACCGATGAAGGCCGGCACGGCACACGAGGGGGTGGGTGGCCAGCACCACGCCTTTGTCTCCTTCGTGGCGATGTTTACACACTGCACCAGGAACTTAAATGAGGCTAAGTCGACCTAGGGGAGGCTCAGGACCGGTTCAGATAATCGTCACTAGTGTTGGCCGTAAGCGGGAATGGAACCTGGATCGCCAGGTTCGTAGTGCTGTGTGCTAAGCGCTGCACTACAATGACCGCATATTAAAGCTGAATTTAAATTCGTTCGGCATTATTTCAGCTGTGGTTCGATTGTCGTATGACGGACACTCTTTGTAGCATGCGTAAGCTAATTTAGAACTCGTTTGTCAGCAGCATTGAGAACCTGTGTTCGAATTGTGGTCTCCCACATCAGACGAAGTTTCAAGGTCACCATTTCATGCGGAAGCCAGCAGTTGTGCTGTGGATTAACTGGCGATTGTCATTGGAATGGGGAATTTACACCACTGGCTGTGGAGATGAAGACTTATGATTGCAGGGCTGTCGTATGTGTGGATTGCCAATGCATGAGATTTACCAGTTGGGTCTAACTATGAGAACCAATCAGTGAATGTGACCTTGCAAATTGTTTTGGCCGAAAGGAAGAGGGGGCTGCTGGTGTGGACTATTTGCGCTGGTTTGTGTATGTGCGTGCGTATGTGTGTGTTTGCGTGTGAATTGCGTGCGATCGTGTGTCGGCGTGTCTGTCTAAGGGGGGGCGGTGGGGGGGGGGCAATATGCGTGCCATGTCCGCGTATTGGCGTGCGTGCCAGTGAAGGGGCTACACGCATTGCGTGTGCCTTGACAGCCCAGTGGTTTGAACGACTGCGCAATCATTAAAAAATAATATAAATACAAAGTTTCACTTAAATTCATTTGTTAAGCCCCAGTTTTGAATGGTTATTAAACAAGCAGACGGGTCGCTTACTTATGTACACAGTGGAAGGGAGCATTCCAATAATTGTGGTCAGACAGACCGTGGAAGGACATTGGTCGATGAAGAAAGAGAAATTCTTCTACATGACAATTCATGCTCGAATGCGACATGTGCTCCTGCAGCCTATAGTATGATCTCAGTGTCAAAGTTGGCCTGCCCATGTTTTTAAAACACGCCACAAAACTTACGACTCCGTGTGCCGTTGAAGCAAAGCAGTCGCGGATGAAATTAAGATGCTTAAGATCTCCGCGATTTCAGAGCACGATGTCAAAGGCCATGCCTCCTGTAAGTGACGTCGCCGCTCACTGGGGCAATAACATGGGCCCAGAAGCAGAAGGTAAATCATCCCTGAAATTAGGACGTGGAATTTTTTGGGGCTCCCGTCACAAATGATCAGAAACACTAGCACGGCCCTGTGATCCATTCTCACGTTACAAACAGCGATCCGGCGGGGCGTCGCGAACGGCTCTCGGCTGGCTAGCGTTGAAATGGAATTACGGACCAACGTACTTTTTAGGTGCAATGTAAATTTAACGCCACGTTTGATAGTTTCCTTATTTCTACACGATTCAAGTTTCATGTTCCTTGTAGGGTTATATAGGTATTTCTTTACAGTAAATGCTTCTGTTTGGGGGTACCCTAGTGGCGAGATGTTAACTACTGCACTTAGTATACAGGTCGTGGGTTCGGTCCTGACCCTGAGGCATGTATATTTGAAGTTTGCATGTTTTTCTCATGGTCACATGGATTTTTCTCCGGATCCTCCAGTTTTTCCCTCCACATTTAAAATCAAAATCACGCGTTTAGAGCATTTCGGCTGCTGCTATAAATGTACACGTGATAAGCCACTTCGTTGGGCTATTACTTGTGGCCAGGTTGCTTCTGAAAAAGAGCGGCATAGCTCGGTGGGTCTGAGCTAGTAAAATAAACCAATACAGTTTAGTGGTTTTAGTTTAATCACAGCAGAACTCGTGAATGATACAAATTTAAAACAACCACCATTTCGTTAAGCAGAACTTACTGGCTTCAAACAATTAACTTTCAGCACCAAGGCTTCTAAAACTCCATTGTCATGACACCTGCCCTGTGGCCCAATCGTTTCAATGTACATATCAAGAGATCAATGATTGAATGGATGATGATGTTGATGATGACGATACGACCGGTAAGTGGGTATTGCGGAGGGCCCACTTAGAGGCTCGAAGGAGGCATGAGCTTTGAGAGCGCATGCCCCCATAAAAAGCCACACCTGCACCCCGCAATCATCGAGAATGCGGAGACCGATTGCCAGGCAGCCCGCCACTCGATCGCCTGATTGTTTGCAGACACATTCTGCGAGCTGCGCTTACGCACACAGAAATAATTCACGGCTCCTGAAGTTTGTGAATCGGGTCTCAGCGCGAGTGCGCGCGTTTCTCCGTTGCATTTTTTGGCCAATAAATTCGTCACTGATCACGGGCAACTAACAAAAAGTTAAGACCATGTTTACATTTTGGAAGAATAATTAACATTCAACAACTAGAGTGACACAAACGGTCGAACGATATCGTTCTTCTTATTCACTGGGCCTTAAAATGCATCATATTTGGAGATAAATAAAACTTGTCAATATTTGTCCCGGCATTATTTGGATTTTATTGACAAAAGCCCCTTTTTACTTGAATGCTAACACTATATGCCACTCATTTCAGAAATGCTAAATGCAAACCTCAGGAGTGTCCTCAAAAAACAATTTGGCCATTATTCCTCATTTCCATTGATGGTCATTGTCCCGAAATGGAAATTCCACATTCCTGACTTGGGAATCAGTCTGGCCACAATATGACAGCCGCTGTTGACTTCCCACACAGCTGTACTCATTCGATCGACTCAAGATCGGCTGCGTATGTGTTAGATGCACGCGAATATTAATATTTAGTATATCGGTTTAGTGATCATGCTGGTCCAACAACTTCCCATGCTGTGTCGGTCATGGGAGCTGTTTGACCATACTTCACCATGCTGGTCAGTGCAGCTTGATGAAGGTGGGGGGGGGGGGGGGGGGAGCGTTGCGTGACCAGTACAGAGAGCACTTACCACTGAAGTTGGCCTTGGCCAGGAATCAAACTCGTACAACCTGGTTCATAGTGAAATTAACTACCGACCGTCCTGCTTGGCCCATGTGAGACATTATACAAAGTTTAACTTCAGATATACACAAACGACTGCGTTCAAAATATGCTTCATTGATTTACATTCCTTCCCAAAAAAGCAGGGTACTCATTCGAACCTCCCCCAAATCGCTACTCACTTTTTCAACCCTGGGGGAGGGGGGGGGGGGGTAGAGGATGGGTTGTCAGTCAGTCATCCCCCACTTTGGATATGAAGTCAGATCCTTCCTATTGCGAGTCGAGCACTTTACCACGGTGACGCTCGGCCATTAGCAACAGCGGCGAATATAAACAGCAGCAGCTCTTTGCCGAAGTCCACAGAGCTTTGTGGGCTGCTGGCCGTACCGAGCGCCCGGCCTTTCACCTTGGCGTGTATCGTTTAACACAACAGCACAACGGCTAATTCGCGATATAAATCACGCGCTATTCATTGCCTAGACCTTGGGATGAACGAGGGACCCCCGCGCACGAGCGGAGGCTCGAGGCCATGTGCTTCAATTCACGTACCTTGTCGCCTCTTGGACCTGGCGGCCCCTGCGAAAACACACACAAGGCGCGGGGAGGAGGAGGAGGAGGGGGGGGCAGGGGAAGAAAAGAGAGGGAGAGAGAAACAAAAAAAATGTGCGGGGTGGAGGTCAGATATCATTTCTTCTGGGGGGGGAGGGGGGGGGGGCTCGCACATTTCTGACAGCTTTGCTGTGGGAGCCGTTGCCTGCCCTGGCCTGCCACGCTCTGGGGGCTTCGCCCGCGCGTTGATTGGCGAGCGCGGTAGCAGAATACTGCCGCTGCCCTGCAATCACGGGCGAAATGTGGGTAACTCGAGCGAGGGTTTCTTCAGGGTGGTGGTGGGGCAGTAGAGGGATGGTGGGGGGGAGGGGGGGGGCGCACTCTCTTTAAGCAAAGCCAATAACGGGGCTACTAACGGCGGCTGGGGATCCGCTTTCAGCCATCTCGAATCACAAACTGTAGTTCCCATATTCGGCCGGCCCCGTTAAAATCACCGCAACCCCGCAGAAACCCGCTCCCATTAATTCCCGCAAATTCCTCTTTTGCGTTCCCTGACGTTAAAACAGTGGATGATTGCTCCATCATTGTGCTGGTCGATTGTGTGTGCGCACGCGCGTGTGTGAGTGTTTTGTGTGCGTATTGCTCTGCTATTTGGCATTCCTCTGTGCGCGCATTATGGCAACCCGTATATTTAAGCTTCCATGTTTACGTGGGGAACAGTGGTTTAAGCGGTGAGTGTACTGCACTACGTATGATCAAGTTCAATGTTTGGTCATGGAAAACACCAGCAGGAGTTTAAATTTGAACCTGGCTTTTTGACCGAAAGAGGACCCTCCATCTGAAATGAGTACCTGGTGTGGTCTTAAAGGTCAGAAAAGGAGACACGAAGGGAGCTGGTCATCCGTGATTTTGGCTATGTCACTCTGTGCCAGCATTAATTGATATCTACTAACAATGATTGCCCAACAGTCCAATACAGCTCATATGAACACACCAGGCAGTGCTCATATCAAGTGTCATTAATTTTACATTCCTGTGATAGGACCCAGTTTATTCACAGGAAAACTACCGTTAATTTCCTACAATGCCAAACTATTTTTTTTTATCCACATTGACTAGACGGTGACCTGCTTAGACCCCTCGAACAGGATTTGAACTTTGCAACCAAGTCGATTCATTGAAATTCGATGCCCACCCAACGGCATCCAGTCCTGGCTCACGTCACACCGCCGCATATCCGGAGAGAGGCTCAAACTTCCACCGAGTACTCGAGGGGTAAACCTGAAGCCCGCGCTGTCGACGCGAGAGCGCGAGAGGAGGAGGAGGCGTTTGAGAACCCACTGATAGCCCACCTCAAATCCTGGAAACCAATTTTGGTCCCGAGTGGAGGCACCCGAAACCTCCTGGCTTGACCATGTGGAACGCTGGCGAGCAGAGAGGTATGGAAACGAGCACCTACAAATTTTCACTTAAAACTTTCGTGACTGCAGGAATTCTTATTCTTGGTTCTTTCGGTAAAGTCACGTAGATAGAAAATAAAAATAAATAAAATTACAAAAAAATAAAATAAATAAAAGCAAAACCCCACGACGTTTCGATCGCAACACAAGCGGTCTTCATCAGGCCTATTTATATTTTTAATCTATGTGACTTTACCGAAAGAACCAAGAATATGAGCACCTACAACAGACGAATCGTTTCCAACACCCCCCCCCCTCCCGCAACAGGAACTCCCCCCCCGCCCTGGATTCGATCTGACCAAACAACAATGGGACAGTGGCTCAATCGTACGAGATCATCGCCACGGGCACTGCGCCATCTCATGCACGAGTGGAAAATGTAACAAAAATTAGCCTCGGTTTAGACTGTGGCTCTGTGCGGCAAACCGTGGACCGTGTGCTCAACCACTGCCCCACACACGGTCGCTCAGCAGAGCAATGGAGGAGCTACACACGGCTTCAACAAACACCGCTTCAATGCAGTGTATCTTAATATCGAAACTGCCTTGTGACATGTTCCGTTCAGCCACACGCGAGCAGAATGAAACGACAAAAAAAGTTGTGATCGACTAATTTTTGTGGTTAAATACTCAGGCCGCTTGAAATATTCCGCACGCACCAACATCCTGCCTCATGAAGGCAGGAAACCCCTCACGGTCAGGCCCAGTGTGACGGGGTTGATGATGCCTGTCCATAACTTCCCATCTAGTGACACACGTGGGGAGATAGATGATAGTTCTTGTTTCACCCAACTATTTTCATGTTGTCCAGCATTCATCGAACGAAAATCGATCGGGCAAAAACAATCAGATCTACTTGCAACCGTCTGGTTGTGATTTCACTCTGCAATGATATCTGCATTGAAGTAGCATAGTTGTATATGGGCGACATTAACCTCAATGTCAGTGTGAGTTATTTGTATTTTTCCAAGCCCTTTAGCTCAGCCAAACGTGCGTTTAGAGTATTTAGCTGCTGCTATATACATTTCCACGTTATACGCCACTTCGTTGAGCTATCATTTGTGGCCAGATCGTTTCTGAAAAAGAGCTATATAGCTCAGTGGGCCTCACCCGGTGAAATAAAAACTAGTTTTAGTTTAGTCTTACTTTAGATACGGGAGCACACCCCCGATTAGCACGTTTGGCCACGTACAGTGAGAAATAAGTTCGACATACGTATATACACAGTAAGCTATAGTTGGGAACGATGGCACAGATAAATTAACAAATGCCTTGCAACACACAGTTGGCTGCTGAAAATCAGCAACAATAAAAATGATCTGAAATTTAACCTTCAACTTTTTCAGCTCACAAGCGGACAAGCAGCTAACACTCAGATGCTACGACTGGCGAATCTGACCGATGTAAGCCCTTGACCGATGTAAGCCCTCACTCACACGCACTCACTCACAGACACCATCAAAGATGGCGTGGAGGAGGCCGCGATGGCGTGGAGGAGGCCGTGATGGCTGGGAGGAGGCCGTGATGGCGTGGAAGAGGCCGTGATGGCTGGGAGGAGGCCGCGATGGCGTGGAAGAGGCCGTGATGGCGTGGCGGAGGCCGTGATACACTCACTCATCTTACACTGACTCACTCACACATCATACACTGCCTCACTCACACATCATACACTGACTCACTCATCATACGCTGACTCACTCACATCATACACTCGCTCACACTACCACTGAGTCACTCACACATCATACACTGACTCACTCATCATATGCTGACTCACACATCATACACTCACTCACACTACCACTGACTCACTCACACATCATACACTGGGAGTGTCATGCTGCCAGCTATGGCTGCAGGTTTGGTCGCACATGTTATGTATATCGTTTATTGTTAAATTTGAATCACAGTTCCGATGATTACTGTTGTTACATTGTTTTTATAGCTTTATTTTGGTGATTTCGAAAACATATGGTAAAGCCATGTTTCTTGCGGAAGTGCTGAGTTGGCCTAATAACTTTAAACTACATTGTCTCATGGTTGTTATTGTTTGACTTGCATCACACTGGGATTTTTGAACACAGCGTTGTAATACGGTGGGTTTTTTTTTCTGGAAGATTTGCTGGTTCATCCCAGGATGTTTCTGTTGCGCGTCGTCGCTTCAAGATGTTCTCTGTTCATATTTTGTTTGTTGCGGTTGCACCCGACTCAAGAGCCGCATGGCTCACAGGGCTATACCTAATAAATGAAAACTTGAACTTGAAACTTGCTCGTGAATGAGACCAAGTTGTCTGGCATTGTTGCCATTACAGAAATCGGAATGCCAGTCGCAGAGCCAGCAACACATGGGGCCTGATCTGAGGGAGAATGCCTGGGCCAAAATGTGCCATGAGCGTGTGATGTGTGATGTTGAGTACCCCTATGAACGGGCATCTTATTACAACGGTTTATGCAGCATTATCCTCGGGGGGGGGGGTCTATTATTTGGCTTGCTACTTTCATGGAAACCCTGACAGCGTGTCACGGAGTGTGCAGGTACAATTTTCCAAGCTAAAGTCATTGTTTTGACTCGATGCATATATTCTTTTTGAATTGGCGTCTTTTTAAGAAAATCACGCTAAAGTACATCACATGTAAATGAAATGCGCATACAAAACGTTGATTTTTGTGCGGTGGCATAAGCTCTGCAACCTAACGTTTTGAAATGGGGTTGGTGACTCGCGCACGAAATTCGCCAATGCGTTCTGTGAGACTACCAAACTGCTAAACCGCTAGTCACCGGGAGGTGGCAAGTACGACAAGTAGGTTGTTCCTCATTTATATCGTCTTTTGAAGAACCCAGTAGGTTCGTGGAGAGTTTTGAATTCTATGTCCGTGTACCTGCTCCCGTACGTCTGGACAAGGTGGAAGAGTAGGCCAAAATAACCTCTGGCGGGGCTCTAGAGCACCGTCTTTTGGAGGCACCTTGTGCGTGAGCGAGATATTGCAGGGCTGCGCCTTTGCTTTGTTTTCCTTTGGGCGAACTGGCTTTTTGCGAGTCCTCTAAGCCTCCTCCCACGTGCAAATATTCAACTCTAAGGAAGCCATCAAACATCCTCCTGAAAGAGTCTTGAGCTTTAGCAAGACTTTGCCTGGATTAAGAAAATTAAGTTACTTTTAAATAATTTTAAGAAGAAAAAAAATCATTACACGAATTGGGAAATTTAATGCTAAATTATTCCACCCCCCCCTCCAGTCAGCCAACCCCCATTGGAAAGAAAACGGGTGTGCAGCGTGTGGCTGTTAGGACACACTATATTTCCTCGGAAATTTGAGCAGGGTTAGAAACTATCCAGCCCTCTGGACAACACCTGTGTTAATTTTTTTTGTTCTCTCCCCAGATCAGACGAAACTTTTGCTGCAAACATTTTTTTTTAACTTCAGTTCCATTCATCAGCTCAGCACATTTTGTTAAACTCTGTTTTCAATAAAGTCGCACCGTGAAATATTTGAGCTGTGATACCCCCCCCCCCCCCCCCCATTTCTCGACCGCTCCAGGTAAAGCCGGAGGTGCCCTGCTGTTGGTTGC